GACCGGGGTGGAAACCGAGCCTCCTGCGGAGAAACCGCCGGGAGGGGCGGGGGCGCGAGGGCCGCTTCTTCCAAGGAGGGTGAGGACGCCGTCCTAGGGCGCGCGCCTGGCTGCAGCCCGCAGGTCGCCAGGGTTAGTGTTTTGCTGTGTGGTTAACTTTTCAATTATGGAAATGCTCAGACCTGCACAAGTAAAACTGTACAACGGCCCACACCCGTCGGCCACCTGTCTGCACCTTGCCTCTCTTATCCATCGATGTTCCTCCCCCACACAACCTGCCCCCACCCCAGTAATTTTAATGCATTCCCAACAAACGTATTTCACCTTTAAATACCTGAGATGTGTATCTGATTGACAGACCTGGTTTTTCTCAAACGTTCCCATAATACCAGTATCGCACCTAACGAATTTCACAGCACCAGGTTCGATTCTCCCTGATGGACTCAAAATACATCTTTTGACCACTGACCTGTTCTAATCAATATCTGAAGAGGGATGAGAGATTTTGGAGGGAGGGTGCCTCCAGCAAAGTTGCTAGAAGCCTGCTCATGCTCACAGAACCAGAATGTTAGTTCCTCCGGAGGGAAGTCCGAAGGGTGGAAATGTCAAGTGACACCAGGAACCCACAATTTGGGGCACCCTGAAGAAGGAAACGCCACTCAGTGCAACACTTCCCTCAGTGCATACTTGCAGGGCTGTTGGGTGGCCCTGGGCGAGGCCCCTGTCCAGCTAGAGGGCTCTGCCCCTGCAGGTGCACTCTGCCTGGCGCTGGTCTAGCCCTGTGGTAGTGGAGGAGACGCCTTCCCAGTGTTTCAGCTCTTCACTGGAGAGGGATGTGAGTTCTCAGAGCTGGAGGGAGCTGGCTTCTATAGACATCCTCAGCACCCCATTTTTGCCACGTCGGAACATTTCTTAATAATTGCAAGGCTCTTTCTGAAACAGCTTCCGGTAAGTTCCATTTCCTCAGACCCAACACATTTGGATCAAATCAGATCAACATAAACTAGAGTTTGGACCGCAGCAGTCTGTCCACCCCACGCTCCCACTCCCATTCTAGTTGGAGCAGTATGTGCTCCAGCTCCACTACATGTACAGTTGCTTGTACTGGTTGTGTTTTAACCTGTGCTCAGCCTACTTTGGGGCAGGTCACAAGAAGCAACTGTCTGCAACTTACCACCCTACTAATGAAAAGTATAAGACAGTGGTCATCATATTGCAAAATAATTGTTTCAAGAGGACTCATAAGATTAATTTCTTTCTCTACTCCAGGAAAAAAACAAAACTTGTTTGTTTCTGTCATAAAGACACCATGAATTAAGTCACTGGTTAGGTTTCTTTGCACTCTAGGTGGCTAGAAACTCTGAGCTAAATTGCGGTCCAACTTTAGAAGGGTATACAATTTCACAGCATGCAGCTTCAATATCAACCACACTCCTGATTTTCTCTTTCTACATTTCTCTTTGTCCCAATGTGCTCATTTATATTTTTATTCTGTTTATTATATTTCTAAACTGCCTCAAACTCTTCTATGAACCTGGTGAGAAATAAATGCATTTAAAAATTACGAAAAGAGAGTGGTGAAAGTTTATTTTTCCCATGCAATAGCCTGCTGGCGAGTTTCCTCGGTTGGTGTGCGCCTCCTTGACGCTGGGGATTTAGACTTCTTCCATCGTGTGCTGCTCCTACTCTCGCCCCACCCCAGGTGCTGCCATATCCACATGGTTGGAAAATGCTCGCCCCTGTGTCCACTGGGTCTGCCTCCAGCCAGCCCAAGGAGAGGAAAAGAGGGAGAGTGACAGCTGACCCCTCCCTTAAAGGGCATGTCTGGAAGTGGTACATGTCACTTCCACTCAAATTCTGTCCATTAGACTGGTTTCCATGACTACTGCTTAGCTGCAAAGGAGGCTGGGGACTGCGTCTTTCTTTTGGTCAGCCATGTGCTCAAACACCCCCAGGTGTAAAATTTGGGGTTTCTATGACTTAAGAAAGAATGAGATAAAGGAAAGGAAATGGGAAATAACTAAGTCTTACAATCCTTATGAGATAATAGAAAATATATACTGGTCTCTGTGCCTTGCTCCAGGCACAAAGCTCCTGAAACCCTTGTAATTTTCTAAGTGATAGAGCACTAGGAGCGTCTTATGTTGTAATGAGGTGACTCTGAGTGGGCGCACAGATGACTCCTGAATGGGGAATGGTCACCAGAAAGACCAATCCATGGTTAGAAACTTGGAATTTCCAGTCCCCCCTCCCCCCACTTCTACAGAGAGGGGAGAGAGGCTAGAAGTTGAGTTCATAATTGATCGTGCCTACTTGAGGATTCCTCCACAAGTCCCATGGCACAGGGTCAGAGAGATTCCAGGTTAGCAAACAAACCCACATGGGGAGGGTGAAGCATCCCAACTGCAAGGAGAGAGAAGCTCCTGTACTCAGGACTTGCCCAGACCTCACCCTACGACTCTCTTCATCTGGCTGTTCATCCGTATCCTTACTATACCCATTACTATATAGTAAACTGGTAAACGTAAGTAAATGTTTCCCTGAGTTCTGTGAGTTGCTCTAGCAAATCAGTTGAACCTAATGAGGATAGAAGTTGGAGGTAACTTGGGGACCTACTGACATCTTCAGATTGACACCTGAAATGGAGTGGGGCAATCTTGTGGGACTGAGCCCTAACGTGTAGGGTCTGATACTCTCTCCTGGTAGACAGTGTCGGAATTGGGGAAT